TAGCTGTGCATAATAAGAAAGTTTTCTTTTCTATCGGAGGAGGAATGTTCTGGATTTGAAAACCTTTCAAGTAATTAGCATAGATATTTAGTATGTATTTGTGATCTGTTTATAATTGAACTGTATCAAATTGTTATGATGTCATATACATTTTGAGGGAAAATGCCGAATATCAACACGCTCAATTTAAATATTATTGTTGGTCGGGTTGGACCATGCTTGTTTAAAAATGATGTATTCTATCCTACAGGAAGCTATCATTTCAGCCCGTGTAATATTTCTGATTGACCATGGAATGGTGTAGGCACACTTCTTAGAATTGATATTCTTGTAGCATGAATTCTCTGAAGCAAAGATCCATGAATTTTGCTCAAGTGTTCTTAATCAAGAAAGATTACATAATATGTATATATATATAGATATTAAAAAAAACACTAAATCAAATTTCAGAAAACTTCATAAATCCTTAATCCTGAGGATTCATTTCTGCATGCTAATTTGGGTGATTTTTGGGCCGTGCAGGTGGAAGATGTAGTTCCTGAAGTTGGCTTTAGAAAAGCATATTCAAACATGTACAGAGGCTGTATAATGACTTCTTGAGAAATCAATACTTTGGGTGATACTCAAAGAAAGCAATTCCATAATGGACAACATTTTGTCTTAGGCTAAAGATTGTTTCAGTGATACCATGAATATGCAGGTACAAACTAAGAATTATAGGGTTATTGCACTTTGTATTTGTAGTGTGTGCCTACTGATAATAGTCCCAGGAAGGGCACATCAAGTGAAGCTTTGAACTTTGAGCTATTAGCCTATTATGTCTTTTCTCTTTTCCTTTTTCATTTATCGTTTCTAAGGTGGAAGGCACCATCTGGTTCAAAATTCATGACTCTTTTTTTTTTTTTTTTTTGTGGGGTGGGGTAATAAAGTTATCAATTTTATTCATAGAACAAAAGAGCTATCGTAGCTACATGTTTCAGAAGATTAAAAAATAGCAACTTATGCTTAACCCATCAAGTCGTGTGTACATCAAGTAGAGCAGTATAAGAAAAATTCTAGAGCTTAACACTTGAAAATCACTATATATGGGCATGCAAATTTGGACCACCCTGTTTGGGGGAGGTTAGAGCATGAAATTTGCTTCTTACGGACAAAAGTGAGCTTCAGGGGAATGTCTGAGGCATGTGTGTTGATTCCTAAATTCTTATTTCATAAACTGAGACTTCCTGTAAATAATATTCTCTTGGTCTTTATTATAAGACTTTAATTTTAACTTAATCTATGAAATAAATTTTTATAATAAAAATGTGAGGAATACATTCGGAGATTGATAAAAAAAAGGGACAAAAAAATTAGATATTTAAGGCTCATTAAGTTATTGGAATGAAATAGAAAGGAATGGAATGTGTTGATAATGAACAAAATAAGTTAAAATAAGGTTTTATATTGATAGAAAGATGGAAATTATAGAAAGTTGATAGTTTTGGAGTGATAGATAAGTAGGAATGGGTATTGATGGTGTTCTTCAAGGTAATCCCCATTCATGCCCATCACTCCATATACTTTATTTTTCTATTGTTTTCATTTTTCTATCATTTCACAACTTTATTTTTGTTTATTTTGTTCTTTATAAATTATTCCATTGCATCCCTCTCCAATAACTAATCACGCTCTTAATTTTATACATTTAATATATTTTTTTCAATCAAATGAAGATAAGTAATGTTAATGTGTTAATAATATTAATAATAATAGTTTATTATAGAATAATTAATAATTAAAAGATTTTATTATCTTGATTTAATTAAAAACAAGTACCTTATATATGTCTTTCTCTCTATCATTATATGAACCTTAAGGATTTAGGCCAAGGACACTGACTTTTTATGGTCTTTAACTTTTTTTTTTTTTTGGAATTACAAACGGAGGAAAAAGTCTACAGGTAGGAAAAAGGAACGAGAAGGGATTAACCCATATTCTCAAAACCATATCCAAGGTCATATTCCATGATAACAAAATAGTTAAAAGATGGATTCATAGTAATGCGTTGTTGGTGATATGATGTTCAAGCGTTATGTGCTAACCAATTCGCACACTTGCTTCCCTATGCTCATAACTTTCTAGACTATAACAGGGAATTGGGTATTTTGTTTAGTTCAACCTACTTATTTTTTTCCTTCTTGCTAGTTTAACTACATAAATTTTTTTTTTAAATATAACTTTAGATTTTTATACTTTACTCACATTTTATTTTTAATCCTTGCATTTTTTTTCTTGACATTTTGGGTCCTTATATTTTTGCTTTTAATTATTTTAGATCTCTTCAAAGTCTTTACACTTTATTCATGTAGGAAACTAAAATAATAAAAAAAATAAAAGGTAGAGATCTAAAATATCAAAAAAAAGTACAAGGATTAATAGCAAAAGTGAATAAAATACAGGAACCAAAAATTATGTTTTTCTTAAATTTTATTTTGCCGATACATAAAGAGAGACATATGATATTCATTATATTGATGTTATCATTATTAAACATAACTATATTTTATCTAATGGTTAAAAAACTATTTTTTTATCTTGGTGGATGGGAGGTTTATTTTTCACAAGAATGATAATAAAACACTTTTAAATAGAGTTAGGAATAAAAGTTGGACCTGAAAGTCTTATTTAAATAAGGATTTGGATTTGAAAAATGGGAGACTTTTAGAGTCATTGGACTTCTAGGCCTGACCCTGATAAGTTATGAAAAAAAGGGGTCGAGCTCGGGTGGCTCTCCAAGGCCTATTTAATTTTTTTCTCCTCTACCTTAGAACACATCATTTGACAAATGGGAAAAAAATCTTAAGTATTCAACCATTTTAAGTTCTTGGACTCTCTTAATCTTTTAACTCAACCTTTCTCTCTCACCCTCTTCTTTCTTCAAGTTGTCTTGCTAGTCGCCTCTATGCTTGCCCTCAGGCTCTTTCTGTCTCTCGACTCGCCTCTCCCTCTCATCTTTTGATTTAGCATCTCTCTCTCAGTATTCTATTGCTTTAGCTTTTTGGTTATCTTATTTTCAAGTAATTACTCTTCAAGCATAGACTTTTTTTAGGTTATAGATGTCCGAGATTTTAATTTGATATTTGCTTCTAAGATTTCAATTTGATTTAAAAAATTCTAATCCCTTATCTTATTATGTGAGGATTATATTAATATGCCTTATATATTTGATTTCTGAAATTTATTATGAATTTTAATGGCATCAATTAACATATATTTAAACTTTTAAATTTTTTATTTATTTTCTAAATGATGTGACGCCTTGACTTTGTTTTTGTTAAATTTTAAAGTTAAATTATAATATTAAATATTATAATGTTAAATTAAAGTAATTTTTAAAAAATATTAAATTATAATATTAATTTTTTTATTTTTTAAACAAAGTTTCTAAACACCACTTTAACTTTTCTTAATAAAAATTGGGTCTCAAAATTTGATAAAAATTTAAAAAACGAGATTTAGAGCTTGGGCCACTAAAGGCTTGGCTTTAGGGAGTCAGGCTCGTCCATTTTTTTATTTTTATTTTTAAAATATATAAATAATAAATATGTATTATGATTTAATTATTTTATAGAGCTTAAAAACTTGTAAGGCATTTTGATTTTATGTGCAATGACGTATTTACCCCATGCTGATATTTGGACCTGTCGCCGTCGGACGCTTTGCTTCTCGGTTTCGCAAGTCGCCGTTCTTCCATCACTTCTCAGCATCGCTGTCGTTGCTGCCCAGTGGGTTCTAGTTTGCATGCTCTGCTCTTCAGTCTTCAATTCTTCATCCAGATGCCTTTCAATTCTTCTCTTATTTATTTGCTTTTGATTCTTCAAGCCTGAAGCCATTCTTCAACTCCGAGCTAAGAACGACAGGTAATAGCCCAGAATGCTGACGACGAAAGCCATGGGGGTGACCGGCCGGACGTGGAAGGGAGAGGGCTGGGTTCCGACAGCCTAGATCTGAAGAAGCCGAGCAGAGCTAGGATGATGAAAACGATCGTGGAGTGTGGAGACATGAAGAAGTTTGGAGCTATGTTCATAATGATCAAGATAGGGATTATAATATGAACTCTATGAATTTCAACACTGACGGAGGTTCGCCAGTATAGAGAGAAACAAGATCCAAGAGCTTAAGGAAGTAAGATTCTTAAATTAAGGTTTCAAGAAGACTTCAAGGAAGATGATGAGATATTGGAGGGTTTCATGTATAACTGATAGTAAGTGATAAAAACGAGATGCTTCGTCCATGCCTCCAAGATTGGGAAGTGATATTTGGACCTGATAGGAGTGCCAGGACCAAAGATCCATCGTCCCTGTGGTCTGAACCTGTGCCGTGAATCTGACCGGGCGATTGGGTCTGGACGTCTGGTGATTATTTTTTATTTTCTAAAAATAGTCTTTTTCACATTAAAAATAATTCACCAGCAAGTCTAAGATATTTAATTATTATTTAAGTATTTTAAGAGTATTTTTCTGTCATTCTTTCTTTTTTGTTCATAAAATTATTTGTTATTTGTTTTTCCTCTGAAATATTATCTGAAGAAAGATTTCTGCAGGAAATAAATTGACATTTAGTGAACTCTACAAAGAGGACCCTGAATGTGTAAATTTGTCAATTTTTAAAAGATTATTTGATTACACAAGCTTTCTTTCATGATATATGGAGATTGATTTTTTCCATAAAAAAGAGACGTGTCGTTATTTAATAAAAAATATACTTTCACAGATATCTGAAATTTGTAACAATGGAAAATATTAACCAATAAATGTTTTAATTCCCCCTTTTTATGGTGACCTCTCATGTCTTTTTATGGTAACAATAAGTTTTGTATGGTTAAGAAAGATCATAACATGAAAGTAGCAATCACTAACCAGAATTCAGAAGGATATAATTAGCATTATCATTTTTTAATTGAATAAAAACAAAACTCAAATGAAGCAAAACATGAAAAATAAAATAGTAACAAGGAGACTATGATTTATTCATTTGACAATCAAGATTAATGACCCATTTAGAAATGCAACAAACCACTCAAGAATCCACATTTGTGTGGGTGCATATTTATATGATACAATATAGAACAGTTTCTATTTTCTATACTTACAAGTGAGGGATTAGAAGAACAAATCTATTTCTTCTGTAACAAAAATGAAAACAGTATGACTAATAGATGAGAAGAGAGCCCAAAGGAAAAACTCTCTTTCTCCTACTTGGCTGTACATTTCCATCCTTTGCTTTATATAGCTGTTCCATTTCTCAACAGAAGAATTTCTTCTGGTGATAGGAGACAGTAAGAACAAAAACAGAAAGTGAGATCCTCATTGATGGATGGATCCTATGCTTCTTTCTATTTCTTTCTTCACTAGTCCTTTTTTACGTAGAAGGGATCTGAGTCCCCATTCTCATGATCTGATAGTAATCCAATTCTGTGATGAACATAATCCACATTCTTCTCCATGCCTTTGCATTTCACTTCCTTTTCTTCCATCTTTGCAACATGTGAACGGGTTTCTGACTGAGAAATCATTTCCCTCTGGACTTTCTGGTTCATCCAAATCATAAGCACCCTCAAAACTTGAAATCCCCAACACACAGACTGGTGAGGAAGCAGTATCTTTGGATGAAGATGATGGTGTTGTTTCAGATGAATCCCTTGAGATAAATGGGTGCCTAAGAAGTTCCTCACATGTCCACCTTTTTCTTGAGTCTCTCTCCAAACATCTCCTTAAGAAATCCAGACCCTCCTTTGAGAAATGGGTTGGGAATTGAGGGATCTCATCACCACAGGCAATCTTCAAAAGAACAGCCATTGGGTTTGAATCATAATTAGAAGCACCCCAAGGAGGCCTACCAGTAGTCATTTCAATAACAGTACATCCCAAAGACCATATATCAGCGGCAAAATCAAGCTTTTCATTCCTCAAAACTTCAGGAGCCATCCATAGAGGGGTCCCACTAACATGTTCCAAAGACTTGTTATTCTTCTTCTTCATCAAACATTTATTTTTCAAGTCCTCCACCCTCCTTGCACATCCAAAATCTGCCAATTTGATGTCCCCAGAAGACCCCAGAAGCACATTCTTGCACTTAAGGTCACAGTGCACAATCCCATTACCATGAAGATAATTGAGGCCTTTAAGAATTTCTTTTGTATACAAACGAACCACATCTTCTTGTAATGATCCACCAAATTTCTCTGCAATATCAGCCAAACTACCCCCAGCCATGTACTCCATTAGAACATTGAGATCATCTCCATCTCTTTCTGACCCTAAGTATTGGACTGTATAAGGAGATGGTTCTAGATTCTTGAGAATCTCAACCTCATTCTCTAAAGCCGCAAATTCAGCCCTGGAATGTGCTGATTTAACAACAAAGAGTCCTCCTGTGGATTTGCTCATGGCCAAATGAACAGTTCCAAAAGATCCTGATCCCACCAATTTCCCCTTCATCCATTCCCCTTGTTTGGGAGATCCAGATGGGGCAACTCCGGCCATAACGTTTCTTTATATTACAGCTAACCAAATCAATCTCGAATTGAGAAATCCCCAATTCGAAATATGAAACTTGTAGTATTTCAAAATTCATACAGGTTGCCACAGATCGCGCATACAATCTGGGGAAACAAAAATCCAAATAACACATTCATACATAGAGGCTTTAAAAAAGCACGCTCTAGAGGACGGAGAACAAATTGATCAAATATTCACACATGCATACGTACATACAAACTTGAACAAGCGATTCATCACTTCCAACACCACGAAAATTCCAAAAATTCTAGAAAATACAGAAGAAAACAAAACTTGAATCAAATCTAACATTATTGTACAGCGGAGAGAAACCTTGAAAATGGTGCCAAATCCAAAGGGTCGAGCGGTTTCCCACGAATCGGGAAAACCGCCCTCTGTTAGAGAGAAGCCTCTGTTTCACAAGTTGTGGGTAATCGCTCGAATGTCATTCAGAGGAAGAATTTGAAACTATATATAGGACTCGGACATGGAGATCCGGTACAAGCCATTAGTTTAAAATTTCTAAACCAAAAAAAAAAAACACTTTTAGTCCCAAAAATTTATTTGAGAGTTCACGTTAATCCATTCATTTTATTTTATTCCACCTTAATCTTTTAATTTTATCTTATCTTTCGATTTTGGTATTTAATTTCTTATTCCAATTTAATCTTAATTTTATTTAATTTTATTTTTTATCTTAATTTTATTTAATTTCAATTTGATTCATTAACTTTGCCTCATATTTTAACTTTGGTTTTAATTGATGATATGGTTCTTTACGAAGTTTGATATTATATATATATATATATATATATGTATATATGCTTTTAATATTATTAACAAAATAAAATAATTGGTTTAGGCTAAAATATACATTTAGTTTTTTAATTTTATATAATAATTTATTTTAGCTCCTTAATTTTATAAAGTATCTTTTTAGTCTTTTAATTCTGATATTATTAGTTTTATTCTGAGAAATTTTTATATTGAACTTCTAACTATTGACAAATCATTCTCAAATGTTAACATATTAAATTTAATTTTTTTAAATAACAATGATTAGTACAAAAAATAATCATTTAAAATTAATAATGTTAAAGTTAAATAATTAAAAAAATATTTTATAAAATTAAATAATTAAATTAAAACTTTATATAAAATTGGAAGACTAAAAGTATATTTTAACCATTAGTTTATTTCATTATGAATTCAACATCTCTTTTTATGTTAATGTTATCTTTGAATACATGGCACACACAACATATCAATGGCTTTTTTTTATATGAAAAAATTTAAGTGAAATGGGCATTAAAATTCACTAAGCTTAAGACATGCCTTTGAACTCAAAAAATGTTTACAATTACAAAAATATTTATAAATTTTTCATTAATAAAATCCTCATATCAAGGACTTTTATTTACAACACCAAATGGAAAAAAACTATGGCACTTCAATGGAAAAATATTCTACTTATCTACGCTTGTATATAGAGGTGTTTATCTAGTTTGGTCACTCGATCTTACCAATGTACTAGGGCACACTGGTCTAGGCTATGAACAAGGTGTTGTCCACTGTCTGCTCTCATTCCCACTTTATAAAACTTAATTTAGAAATTATTGATCAATTTTAAAGTAAGCATGACATCTATATAATATCATCAATAGGGAAATCTTGGTTAGTGAACTACACTTGTTCAAAGCCATTATCTTCATACATTTTTTTTCATTAACGTTAAGGTGAATGTTTAAGAACCTATTCTTTCTTTAGCCACCATATCTCTATGGTTATCTTTTACTCCTAATTTTCCACATGCATTTTCACATCCATTCCAATATTGTCATGAAAATGAACCTTACACATAATTTATGCTAAGGTCATGAAACTTCTACCATATTTCTTTTATTGTCACAAATCCTATCTACCAAATTATCTGATCAAAGTAACTGAACCTATCAATATCATATTCATGCCACATAACCTTTGGACACATGCATTTTACATATCAAATGAAGTGACAAAATACTTTCTTCATTAGAATTAGAAAAGTAGGCTGTCCCGACTCCAAGTTTTACACATTTTAAGCAAGCCATCACAGCATCACTTATACATCTTTATACAGCTTATACAAAACACTCCATTTCGTTTCTACAAACCAGCATAAACATGGAACCCAATTCTCCAAGAACCTTTCAATGCAAATATTTGTTCCTGCGCCTAATCATCTAAATACCTTGATTTGATAAATTCATCACCTAATCTTCATCATCGCTCATGGAGGTTAAATCTTGATCCTCACCATCAATTCCATCACCTGCCAAAAGAAAAATAAATCAAAGAGGCATAATATTACTAGCTTTGCTTAAATGCTTTTAATTAAAAAAAAATAAAATATGTGATAAATGACAAAATGCTAGTATATTACCACTATATTTAAAATCATACAACCAATTACGGACACAGATAAGCAAGGTTATTAAAATCAGACTGGACCGGCCGGTTCGACCGGTTCGATCGAGAACCGGCCAGGTATTCAGTTCGGAGATGATGCAGACCGGGGGGAGGGAGAACCAGACAGGAACCTCCTGAACTGGCTTCAAACCGGACTGAATCGAGAGAACCGACGGTTCAGGCTGTCCAGTAATTATTTTTTTTCCTCCTTCCCAGTTTCACAAAATGGCACCGTTTTGTCCTCAGAATGCCAGAAGCCCAGAACCTAAAATCGTTCGATCGTGTCTTCTTCTCCCTCGAGTTCTCTTAGCCGTCAGCCAGTTCGAGGAGAAATTCGAAGCTTGAACGCAAGTTGCTGTGGAACCCTCCAGAGCACTCCAGTTCGAGAAGAAATTCAAAGCTTGAACGCAAGCTGTCGTGGATCCCTATTAGCCGATCTATTGAAGAATCTATCCGGCGAGCTTCTACAGAACAAGATCCAGCGAGCTGTTACAAAATCAGTCCAGCGAGCTTCTGTAGAACCAGTTCGGCGAACCTCGCGAGCTCTCACCTGGTCATCTTGTTCGTGTTCCTCCCTCTCCTCTGTTCATCACATTTTCGTTGGACTTCGGCTCATTCTCCAGTTCGGCTGACCTCTCATTTCGGCATTTTCCAATCTGGTCAAGTCCATTTCCAGCCTCTTCTGCCATCTTCAATCTTCATTAACAGGTTATTGCTCCTATTCTTGAAGCTCAATTAAATGATAGTTTAATAAATAATTGATTACTGATTGCTGATTTAATAATTTTGATTATATTTTTATTAAGCTTAGTTATTTTTTATGGATTTGAAACCTCCCACTCTTGCCACCAAGCCCAATGTACAAGTTAATAATCCTGATCCTACTCCTCCTGTCATTGACACTCCCTCTAACTCAACTCCAAATAGTAATAGTACCCCACAAACTGTTGTTGGTTTGAATAGTAATGATGCCTTTGGGGTTCAAGTATCATCTACACCATCTCTTTAGGGGAAAAGTAATCCTGTATGGGAGCATTTTTCTTTTAAAAAAGAGGGAAGAACCTGTGTGTATACTTGCCTTCATTGCTCCTCATCATTTAGAGGAGGTGGGATCAACAGGATGAAGCAGCATCTCGCAGGTGTTTCAGGAAATATAATTTCTTGCAAGAAGGTTCCACATGATGTTCACCATAGAATGGTTCAATCTTTAAAAGAAGTGTCATTGGCAAATAACAAAAAGCTTGAAGATCCAGACATGCCTGAAGAGTTTGTTGATAACTCAGAATGTGAAGTAATTGCTCAAGTCCAGAGCCAAGTAAGCAAGCTAAGAAGGCAAGTTCTAGCAGTGTTGTTGTTATGAAAAAAAAGGAAAAACTAGTAGGGTTGACAATTATTTTGCCCCAAGGTCAACTTCTGGCTCCCAACCAGGGCTAAAGAGTGTGTGGTCATCTAAAGAAGCTCAGTATAAAGCTAAATTAGCCATTGCAAAGTGGTTATATATGAATTGCATTCCATTTAATGCTATAAATTGTCCATATTTTTTGCCTACTTTGGATGCAATTGGTGCAATTGGCCCAGGTTTTAAAGGTCCTTCATTTGAGGAGTTAAGGGTTAACTTGTTGACTGATTGTAGAAAAGAGTGTCAACTACTTATTGAAAGCCATCGAGCCACTTGGAAAGAAAGTGGCTGCACACTCATGGCTGATGGCTAGACTGACAAAAGGCAACGGACATTAATAAATTTTTCGGTTTATTCTCCTGTTAGCTTGGTTTTTGTAAAGTTTGTTGATGTTTCACATATAGTCAAGGATGCCAAGAATTTGTTTTCTTTATTTTGGGAAGTTATTGAGTGAGTCGGTCCTACAAATATAGTGCATGTTGTGACTGATAATGCAGCCAATTATGTAGTTGCTGGCAGGTTGATTTGTGAAAAATATAATCATATCTATTGGTCACCCTGTGCTACTCACTGTTTGAATCTTATTTTGAAGGACATTGCAAGCATGCCCTATGTAGCTGAACTTGCAACAAAGGCATCAAAAATTACTGTTTTTGTGTACAATCATGTGGCTTTTCTTTCATGGCTTAGGAGAAGAGATGGTTGGACAGAAATTGTGCGCCCAAGAGTGACCAGGTTTGCTACTACCTTTATTACATTGAAGAGTTTGTATGAACACAAGCATGACTTGCAAGCCTTGGTCTTAGATAAACACTTCCATGATAATAAACTATTAAAGACTAAAGCTGGACAACTGGTTGGTGACATTATGTTGGACAAGAAGTTTTAGGATGATTGCCATCAAATTGTATGTCTTGTGGGTCCTCTTATCAAGCTACTAAGAATTGTAGATGCTGATGAAAAACCATCTTTGGGTTATGTTTATGAGGGTATGCAGAGAGCAAAGAATTTAATCAAAAATTTCTTTCGTGGAAAGAAGGAACAATACAAGCCTTACACAAGCATAATTCAAGCTTGGTAGGATAAGCATTTGAAGTGTGATTTGCATGCAGCAGCCTATTTTTTAAATCCTGCATTCTTGTATGATCAAGGATTTATTGAGAAGAGTAGAGTGGCAGAATCATTGTTGGACTATTTTTCAATATACAAGTCTACCTATAAATATTCTGACATGATTTTTGAGATATAAATGTACTGCAAGCGCCAAGGCTCTTTTAGCCGAGAAGAAGCTCATAAAGTAGCAAATGAAATACAACCTGGTTAGCTTCTTCCTCTTTTTTTTCCTTTTATTATAATTTTAAATATTAACTACTATTAATTTATTTGAATTTGATGTAAATGTCTGGTGACAATATTTTGGGGGTAGTGCTCCAATATTACAAAAGTTTGCAATTCGCATTTTGAAACAAACTTCTTCAGGATGTGAAAGAAATTGGAGCCTATTTGAAAGAATTCATACCAAAAAAAAGAAATAGGCTAGAACATGAAAGATTGAATGATCTTGTGTTTGTTAACTACAACTT